AGTGGATGGATGTTTCTCTCTCATCGATGTTTCTAACTTTCTATCCCTCTCCCTTCCTCTCTGTAAACAATCAATAAAATATATAAAAATAAAAATAAAAAGGGGGGATTTTATGCCGTCTGCCATCAGGTATACATACTCAGGATGGAAACAGAGTCCGTCAAAGCATCGCGATCAGGAAAGGGGGCTCTGAAGCCAGACGGCCTGGGTTCAAATCCCAACGCTGCTCTCCGGCGAGGGGGCCTCTACGGCCCTCAGTCTTCTCATCTGTACAATGGGCACTGCCCCAGGGCCTTTGTCCGGAAGGCAACCGACGGACGTTTCTCCCTCCCAGACCCTTCCTCTCTCTAAAACAAGTTGAAAAAAAATATATAAGAAGATGAGAGACAGCTGGGGGCCGCACCAAATGGACCAGGTGGGAGCTGGCTACGTTGGGCAGCTCATGCTCGCTGCCCACTTCTCACCAATGACTTACTGGGATCACTGGACACCCCCTCGGCCTCCCAGCACCCCCCTCCTCCCAGAGCCCTCACCCATCTCCCCGGCCCCGGCCCCGGCCCCTCCGACCATTCGGCTCCTTACCCATAAACACAAATCCTGTTATCTCCCCGCTCCGCCGGCACTTGCCCCTTGATTTAAGCTGCCTTCTCTTCCCCTTTCATCAGCCCGGGCCCTTCCTGCCATATATCTTCCCGTTTATCTACTCCCCGGATCGATAGTGGGGCGGGTGGGGAGGGAGGAGGGGGGAGGAATGGCAGGCTGCTTGCCTGCCGCCCGCCGCCTCCCCGCTGCTTCCCAGGCCAGTATTTCTTGTGAAGCTCCTGTCTGGCCGTTCAGTTTCTCATTAGGCGGCTGCCGGGCTGAGGCCGTATTTCTTGCTCCTGGGCGGCGAGGCACGGCGATCCCTAGTAATTCTTAAACGCGGGGTGGAGAGGCGGGTCTGGGGAGCGTGCCCGGATCCTTCCGGCAGCGGTGGTGTGTGTGTGTGTGTGTGTGTGTGTGTGTGTGTGTGTGTGTGTAGGGACCGAGGGAGCAGCTCCCAGGCCACTCCCGGTGGGTCCCCTGCCGCTCGGTGGGGCTGCCTCTGTGCCTTCTGCTGCCTGTGTCACTGCAACAGAGGGAGAGAGAGAGAGCAACATCGAGGATGAGAGAATCATGGACTGGCTGCCTCCTGCACACCCCCTTACTGGGGATCGAGCCTGCAACCTGGGCACGTGCCTTCGACTGGAATCGAAGTCAGGACCCTTCAGTCTGAAGCTCTATCCACTGAGCAAACCGGCTAGGGCAGTGTTTTTCAACCTTTTTTGGGCAAAGGCACACTTGTTTCATGAAAAAAATCACGAGGCACACCACCATTAGAAAATGTTAAAAAATTTAACTCTGTGCCTATATTGACTATATATAAAGTAATTCTCTTGAATAGGAATCAAATAAACACAAAGAAAGTATTTTATAATTACTTTATTATGGAATATTAAGTAAACAAAATAGTGAAAAATTATAAAATTCTTGTCTTGTCTGCACCTGCGGCACACCAGGCAACATCTCTCGGCACACTAGTGTGCCGCGGAACAGCGGTTGAAAAACGCTGCCCTAGGGCTCCCCTGTGTTTGGCTCCTGACTTCCCCCCAGAGTCTCGTGAGGGGCTCGCTGTGCCCTCCCCCCACGTGGGGACACGTGGCGATTTCCGGGGGCAGTTTTGGTTGCCACGACCTGGGAGGGATCTGCCGCCACTGACATCTGGGGTGACACCCAGGGGATACATGGGGCGGGGAGGCCAGGGGTGTCACTGGGCCTCCCACAATGCACAGGGCTCCGGTCCACACTGCCGGCCGAGGAGCCCCATTGGAGAGGGAGCCAGTCCCGGGGGGGGGGGGGGGGGGGGGGCGGGATCTGGTGCCAGAGCTGCATTCCTTCAGGTTCCTCAGAAGGTTGCGTTCTAACGATTATGTATTCCGGGTGCTGAGGTTTTGGGGTGTCCCCTTCCATTCCGCACTCAAGGTGCATGCCTCCCTCCCCTCACCCCTATTCTGGCCCCGCTGCTCCCCATACGGTCGGCTCTCCACCAACTTTAATATATATATTTCTTATTGATTTTTTACAGAGAGGAAGGGAGAGGGAAAGAGAGTTAGAAACACTGATGAGAGAGAATCATCGATCAGCTGCCTCTTGCACATCCCCTACTGGGGATGTGCCCACAACCAACGTACGTGCCCTTGACCGGAATCGAACCTGGGACCTTTCAGTCCGCAGGCCGATGCTCAATCCACTGAGCCAAACCGGTTTCGGCCACCAACACTTTTTGAATAAATGGGGCGCCCACCTGTGAGGCAGAGATTGGTGTGTCTGTCTCTCTGACGAGGCAATGGAGGTGAAGCAACGTGCCCAGCTCACAGGGGTTCCTCCAGGGATCGTCCTTCCCTGAAGCCTGGGCACTGGCCTCGCTGTCTGTGGCCCTCCCTGCCTCTGAGCATCCTGACCTGGGCTGGGCCCTCGGAGGGTCCCCTGGAGGGTGGGATCTCCGAGGAAAGGGGAGGAGAGGGGGGAGAACGTTCTAGAATCGAAGAGGCGCGAAAACCCGTGTCCAAGATGGAGAAACAGGACCCACACCATGGAGGCGAGACGGCCCCCCCTGCCTCTGTCAGTCACTGCGCATCGTCCCCCAACCCCTGGGCTGACGGAGATGGGTCCCCGGGGCGGACGGTGCAGCTAGGCTTTCTCAGGCGTCTTGTCTGGTCTCGTGGGGGAGGGGGGGAGGCAGCCGGTTTGCTCGGGAATGCTGGGGGGGGAGGGTAATTTTCTAATGTCCCTCCCGCCATTACGGAGGCTCTGCTCCAATCTCTTATCATATGTAATTCCTAATGATTTCTCTGTTATGTCCTGTTTTATTAAAGCGTCATTGAACTATACCCTATTGATTTAGATTTCACAGACAATTGAAATTTAAATTGACTCCAAATTGGATGTCTCCATGTAATCTCTGTTCCGCAATAAAGATAGACAAAAGGCTTCTATTTTTTGATAACAACTGATACGGGAGGCCCATTTTAATTTTGGGAGGGAAGGGGGGAAAAAAGAAAAAGTGACGAGAGTCTTGACTTTTCTTTGAAAAGTGGCTGGTGGTTCCAGGCCTGGGATTTTTTTTCTTTTCCCCTCCAGAGCACTGATGCCACAGCTGAAGCATTCTGGAATGCCCCGGCTCGCTCCCCGAGGAGAGTGGGAGGCCATCGGGGGTGACCTATGAATGAATGAATGAACGAATGAATGAATGAATGAATGAGGTTGAAGCATTCTGGAATGCCCCGGCTCGCTCCCCGATGAGAGTGGGAGGCGATCGGGGGTGACCTATGAATGAATGAATGAACGAATGAATGAGGTGACCCGTCCTCATAGCTGTCCCTTTGTCCAGGGAGGACAGCGTGTCTGGAGTGCTGGGGCTGGATCGTCCTGCCGTGGCGAGGGCTGGGCCTAGAGAGCCAGCCATCTTGGAACCAGGCGGGAAGGCATCCTTGCGGCCGACTGCCATGATGTCACTTAATATCGGTTCTCACCCAGCCTGAGCCTTCGTGGCGACGGGCACTCTTGTGGCTTCTTTCCCTCCTCACCAGCGACGGAGGACGGGGGTGGCAGGGCGACGGGAAGGACAAATGGAAGAGCTTGGTCCCAGAGTTTGTAATGACACGGAAACGCGCTTACGGTTAACTGGAAAAACCGGGGTGCCATGTTCAACCTCAAGCATCGTCACGTCTCCATGAGCACATATGTGTAGCCTTGTATGTGCAAAAACAGGGGATGGGTGGTGTATGGGGGCCACAGAATGTCCTGCAGCTACTGAAACGATGTTTGCAGGTAACAGTCATGCTAGGGTATGGTGTTAAGTAAAAAAAAAAAAAAAAAAAGGCAGGATCTTAAGAGTCCACAAGCTGTATAACTCCAGTTTGCGTGTATGCATGTAATAACATTATATTATATATTGTATATTATATGTTATTTAATTATAAGCCTATAATAACAAATATTACAAACATAAATATATTTATATATTATTAATTTAATATTTATGTATTAAAAAATATATTTTACTGATTTTTTTTTACAGAGAGGAGAGAGGGATAGAGAGTTAGAAACATCGATGAGGGAATCATTGATCAGCTGCCTCCTGCACACCCCCTACTGGGGATGTGCCTGAAACCAAGGTACATGCCCTTGGCCGGAATCGAACCTGGGACCTTTCAGTCTGCAGGCCCGACGCTCTATCCACTGAGCCAAACCGGTTTCAGCTGTATTTTATATGTAGGTATAGATTGTTTGATTTTATACATGTGCATCTATGGACACACACGTGCACATGCATGCATACACATACACACACTCCTAAGAATGAAAATGGTCCCCCCAAACTAACAGCTGCTTTCTCTGGGGGAGACGGGCATAGGTCATGTCTTCTTCCCTTCATGTTTCATCTTCTGCAATTTTCCAAGTCTCCTCCTGCCCGAGCTGCTGTTACTTTTACCATCAAGACAAAGAAGAACCTCGAGGTTACTTTGCAGACAGAGGCGCGTGGGGTGGGGTGGGCTGGGGAGCGTGCAGCCTTGGGGGACGGACGCTGGAGCAGGAAGGTCTGTGATCACATCGCATCAAGCTGGTGCGGACTGATTCCGCCCAAGTCCCAGTCCGCGGGCCTCCTGGGGCAGGAAGTGGTGGCGGGGGGCAGACGCGGGGGTGCGGGGTGGGCGTGCTCACTGGGCGGCGTGTCTCCTGCGGGGACAACGTGGGGGAGCAGCAGCCCAGGCCCCTGCTGAACTCCGGGGGAGGCATGCGCCTTCCCCTAACGTGCCGGGGCCCTCCGGTCGCTGAGAATGATCGACAGTAATTAAAACTAAGCTAATAACCTCCTCACTCTTGACATTTCTATGGGGTTTTGTTCGCCATTATCTACATATAGATTAAAAATTGTAATTGGACTGGCGATCGGGTTAGGAACACCAACCACCTTCCAGCTCGTCGTGTGCCGGGGTCTGACACTTTGAGATTTTATTTAATCGGAGAAAATTGAGTTGAACTCTGGCACCCTGGGAGGTGGAGGAAAACACGCAGCGTTTATCCTCCGGGATCAATGTTCGCTAAGAAAATAGTGGTGCTCCCCGCGGGAAGAGGTGGGGTCTGGGCCAGAGGGGTGCTGGGAGCAGCGGCCTGGACACAGCGGACTGGAAAGTGGGTGGGGGACCCCGAGGAAGCAGCAGCAGAGGGGGAGGGAGGGTTAGGGAAACCGAGTGACCGCCCCAAGAAAATTCCTGTGCCATTTCTTTTTCTTTTTAAATGTTTTTTTTTTAATTGATTTTTAGAGAGAGAGGAAGGGAGAGAGATAGAGAGAAACATTGATGAGATGAGAGAGACACATAATCGCTCGGCTGCCTCCTGCACACCCCCTACTGGGGATCAAGCCCACACCCTGGCCATGTGCCCCCACTGGGAATCGAACCCGTGATCTCTTGGTTCCTGGGTCAACGCTCAACGACTGAGCTACACTGGTCGGACCCTGTATCATTTTTTTAATTGAGATTTTTACAGGGAGGAAGGGAGAGGGATAGAGAGAAACATCGATGAGAGAGAAACATCCGTCAGCTGCCTCCTGCACACCCCCTACTGGGGATGTGCCCACAACCAAGGTACATGCCCTTGACCGGAATCGAACCTGGGACCCTTCAGACCTGCCCAGCTGCCCCTTGCATGGGACGACTCATTTGTCTAAAATCGAAACCCTTAGATCAGTGGTTGGCAAACTGCGGCTCTTTGGCCCCTTGAGTGTGGCTCTTCCACAAAAATACCATGGCCTGGGCGAGCCTGTTTGGAAGAAGTGGTGTTAGAAGTTTACGTTTAAAAAATCCGGCTCTCCAAAGAAATTTCCATCGTTGTCCTGTTGCTGTTTGGCTCCGTGGACTCACGAGTTTGCCGACCGCGGCCTCAGAGAGCAGTTCGCAGCCCATGTCCCCAAGGGGATGGCCAGCCCAACGAGGTTTCTTCCCAATACCCCATGCGAGGAGGGTATTATGGCTGCCATCGACGAATGTGGACACGGAGGCTCAGAGAGGTTAAGACACTTGCTCAAAGCCACACAGCTTCCATTCAAGGCTGGTGCACGCTGACGCCTGTGCTCCCACCCTCCCTTCTCCAAGCCTTTATCTTATTTAGGACGGGAAACCTGGGCGGGATGCAGGTGCAGCCTTCCCTCCCGCCCTGGACCCCCCCTGGAGCGGACCATCCCTCGCTCATTTCCTCCGTGTCCTTGGCCGCCTGGGGCATCCGCTGAGCTCGGCCGACCGGCGCTGGGGCTGGGCTGTCAACTGGGAGATAGAAAGAAGGAAAAAGCAATTTCTCCCATTTCTTGGCTCAATCCCGAGCAGTCGATACCGTTAACAGTAAATCAAATATCAGGACGGCGCTGACCCGGGGAGAGGACAAGGAGAAAAACATTCCAGAGCAGAATTCGAAAAGCAGAAAACCGCGTCCAGCCAGAGGCGTTAAGTCATACCTGGGCGTCCGAACCCACAGCGGCAGCAGCTGCAGGAGCAGCCTGAGGCCCAGGCCCCCCAACCCGCTGGGTCCCCAGCATTCCTGCTTAAGGCAGCTGAGTTTCTATGTCCCTGTTCTTTGCAGATTTAGGCGACATGAGGCCGCTAGAATCAGGGTTGAGGATGGCTGATCTGAGTGAGAGCCTTCAGACTGGGGTCTCGCTTTGCAATCCCGGGCTGAGTTGGGAAAGGATATTTGCAGAAAATGGCCTTTGGGACAGTCCCCTCCCAACCCTCCACCCCTCCTTGCATGGCCCTCCTTCAGGAGAGAGGTGCTCACATTAGCCTCCAGCTACTGCTCTGAGCACGCGCCCCCTCTCCACCCTCCTGGGCAGCTAGGAGCCAGTTGGCCACTCCTCTGCCCCTTCACTTCCTTCTCAAGCTTCACCCGCTATCCTCGCCCGGAAGAGAGCCGGACACCTGCCCAGCATGCCCACCCAGCAGCCAGAGGACCTCCTGAGACCCAGGAAGGAGCAGCATTAACCAGTGGAACTCATTGGAATCTTCTTCCAGGCAGATGCCAGAGACAGGGTAAGTCTGCGCCTATGAACTTGACACTCGGTCTCACCCTCAGGGTCGGAACCTCCTGCCCAGTGTCCCTCCTTGAGGCCCTTGACACGGACACCTGCTGGTTTGGCCTCTCCAGCACCTCTTCCCCGTTGTGGTAGCTTCACCCCACTTTCCGGAAGAAGCCCCCTGCCATGCCCAGGTCCACCAGTTTGGGTGGGGCTGGCTTCCCATCTCCCTTCCCTGGAAGCAGGCACATGAAGCAGGCCTGAGCCAATCAGAGCACTCTTACCCTCCGCCTTCAGTGATTGGTTCGGTGATGGGACTCTGGAGCCCATCTGGCCAATGAGAGCCAGACCCAGGACTTTGGTTTGGACTGTTGGTGTAACAGTCAGAACAGGTTAAGATATGCTGCAGTGACAAGCAGCCCCTGAATTTTAATTAGGTTGGCTCAAAGCATAGTGGCACAAAACGACCAAGATTGATTTCTTGTTCACTCTGCTCAGGCTGGTGGGGGCTCTGTGCCTGTCTACCTCATTCAAAGGTACAGGCTGATAAAGACTCCACCCTCTAGCAGATCATCAGATATCATAGCAGGGGGAATGGGTCTGACCTCAAATCCTGATTTGGTTGCTTAAAGCCAGGGGCCTGCCTGGTACATAGTTATAGCTCAGAGGGTATCAATTTACCCCTTGTTTGATTTCCTCAACTCTCTTTAAAAAATTTTTTTTTAAATGATTTTTTACAGAGAGAAAGAGAGGGGGATAGAGAGCCAGAAACATCGATGAGAGAGAATCATCCATCAGCCGCCTCTTGCACACCCCCTACTGGGAATGTGCCTGCAACCAAGGTACATGCCCTTGACTGGAATCGAACCTGGGAACCCTCAGTCCACAGGCCGACGCGCCATCTACTGAGCCAGACCAGTTTCGGCGATTTCCTCGTTGGTTATATGTCCAAAACTGGATTTTCAGAGCTTGGCTCACCCCTCCTTGACGAGTTCTCAGAACTGCCTCATGGTCCAACAAACACCTTCCATCACCTTAGTATGGAGGGGAGCACGTAGTAGGGGCTGTCCTCTGTGCGCCTCCCGTGTCTAGCAAAGGCCCAAGCACTTAGCAGGCGCTATTCTCAGTGCCACCAAGGTGCTTTGCCATGTCAGACACACAGTAGGTGTTCTTTGTGCCATCCACGATGCCAGCCCAGGGCAAACCACATAGTGTGTTCTTTTTCTTTGTGCCCCAGTGGCAGTGTTTCTAGCTGTGCATCTCCTGGAGGTTATCCCCTAACCACCTTCCCCGAAGCCTCTAGCTTCTTGCACCTTGGGACTTGGGAGTCTGTGACCAGCAGTTGCCACGAGGGTATGACTTGCTGAAATGGCTGGGGTAGGGTGAGGGGGCAGAGCAGGGGTAGCTCAGCACTGTGAGCTTATGAATGTCTCCCCCAGCCCCAGAGAGGTAGTCATTGGTGATGCGGTTACCTTGGCAACGCTTTGCCCTGGAGAGTGGGAGAGACAGGGGGAGGGAGGAGGCTGAGGGAAAGGGGGGCAATTGCTGGGGGAGGAGATGGAGGAGAAATTCCCCTTTGAAACGAGAAGAATGGTTTATTTGTCCTCCTTCTGGGCAAGTGAAGGGAGGAGGCTGCAGGATGGAGGCTGGTCTGGGTGGGAGGCCCTGCCTCTCAGATTTCCTTCAGCCTGAGAGCACCCAGAGAACCGGGTTTGGTTTCCAGCTCTCCTTCCAACTTGCTGTGTGACATCCTGCCAGTTACTCTCCCTCTCTGAACCCTCCATTTCCTCTCCTTTCAAATGAGGATAACAACCCACAGGACGGCTGTGAGGATTAGATGAATGCTTTGTGTAAGGCGGGAGGTAAATACAGGGACAGACTATTCTTAGTTTATGAAAGCGCTGGGAGGTGAAGTGTTTTCAGAGTTGCCCAGTTATAGAGGTGCCAGGTTTATGAGAACAAAACACAAGAAAACAGGACCCCCACTTACATCTGAAATTCATAAACAGTGAATGTTTATTTTATTTTATTTTATTTTCCAAAAAGCAATTGTGCCATGAAATGCTTGGGGCATATACTAAAAAGTACTTGCTCTTTCCCTGAAATTCTAGAATGACCAGCGTCCTGTATTTCATCTGGCAACCCTCCCCAGGGTTTGAACTTGACTGTTTTTTGAGGCCCTTGACATGGACACCTGCTGGTCTGGGGACAGTCCCCTTGTTTTTTACTGGAAAATGAAAGGGATGACAACTGTCATCTGGATTTCTTTTTATTTATTTATTTTTTAAAATATATTTTATTGATTTTTTACAGAGAGGAAGGGAGAGAGCTAGAGAGCCAGAAACGTTGATGAGAGAGAAACATCGACCACCAGGGATGTGCCCGTCAACCAACGTACATGCCCCTGACCGGAATTGAACCCGAGACCTTTCAGTCCGCAGACCAACGCTCTACCACTGAGCCAAACCGGTTCCGGCTGGATTTCTTGAGGGCCTACTACGTGCTGCCCCTGTTTCCCGAGTCCCGCTGCTGACTGCCCAGCGTGGGGTGGCCCGCAGTTCCAGGCACGACCACACAGTGTCGCCCTCGGCCCGTGGTACCCGGGCGGTGGCAGTGCCACCAGGAGCCAGCGGCCCATCCATCAGGGCGGCGGCGTGGTCGGGAGCGCAGACAATGCGGGGAGCGGCCCTTGCCTGCGCGGCCGGCTGCCGGCACAAAGGAAGCGCTGTTAACACGTGTTCGGTAATGGGCTTCCCCACGGCCCCGTCCCGGGCTGCCCGCCCCCGGCCTGACGGATGGCCCCGGCCATCCATCTACATCATGTCATGGCCGGCGAGCATCCTCCTCTGTCCACTCCGTCCGGCCCGCCGGGGCCGGGCTGGGCCTCATCGAAGGACCCTGCAGAGTAGGCACCTA